TTGGGTGCTGCAAGCCCCAGTCTTGGGGGGGAAGGGGGGGGGTCAGCCAGGCGGGCTGGGACGGGGAGCGATGCCGGTTGGGATGGACCTGGATTTTTGGGGATGTCAAAGCAAGGTCACCTCGGGATCCTGCCGGGGCCTGCGCGGTTCCCACGCACCCGCTTTCATCCCTCCCTCGATTTTGAGCCTCCGAAATTCTTGCGGCTTTTGAATTACGCCCTGCGTTACCCTGCCCCGGCTCCCGGATTTATTTTTACCTCCTTTCCACATTCCTCAGCTCGTTGGGGGAGGGGGGAGGGGTGTCAATATTTTAGGGGTTCCCCCTCCATCACCCCATTGCCCAGGGACACCCCCCTTCCCTCCCCCCCCTACACCCCCAAAATGATGCTCGGCTTTTGGAAGGGGAGCAAAAAAAGAAAATCCCTCAAAACCAAGGGAAACTTCTCAAAACCAAGGTCAAACGCTGGCAACACCCACCCCAAAATGATCCATCCCGGAGCTGCAGGGACCTGCCCTCCCGCCGGTCCATGGGAGCCCCAAAAATTTTTTTGGGGGGGTGTCAGGCCGAGGCTTGTTGCCTCCTGTTGCAATAATTGGGGCTCGTTGCCGGTTGGCGGCTGGGGAGGGCAGCGGCGCTTTGCTCCGGCACGTCGGGCTCCCGGCCGGCTGCGAGAGGCAGCTGAGTCCTGGGAAGCTCGTGACATGGATAGACACCATTTCCCAGTGAGCTTGGTGGGGTCCATGAGGGGATGAAGGACTTCCATGGGGTGAAGGACAACCATGGGGTGAAGAACACCTGTGGGGTGAGGGACATCTATGGGATGAAGCACATCCATGGGGTGAAGAACATCTGTGGGGTGAAGGACATCCGTGGGATGAAGCACATCCGTAGGGTGAAGAACATCTGTGGGGTGAAGGGCAATCTCAAGTTGAAGGACAACCATGGGGTGAAGAACATCTACAGGGATGAAGGACATCCATGGGGTGAAGAACATCCATGGAGTGCAGAACACCTGTGGGGTGAGGGACATCCATGGGATGAAGCACATCCATGGGGTGAAGAACATCTGTGGGGTGAAGGACATCCGTGGGATGAAGCACATCCGTAGGGTGAAGAACATCTGTGGGGTGAAGGGCAATCTCAAGTTGAAGGACAACCATGGGGTGAAGAACATCCATGGAGTGCAGAACATCTGTGTGGTGAGGGACATCCATGGGATGAAGCACATCCATGGGGTGAAGAACATCTGTGGGGTGAAGGACATCCGTGGGATGAAGCACATCCGTAGGGTGAAGAACATCTGTGGGGTGAAGGGCAATCTCAAGTTGAAGGACAACCATGGGGTGAAGAACATCTGCAGGGTGAAGAACATCTGCAGGGTGAAGAACCATCCAATGGGTGAAGGACATCCATGGTGTAAAGGACACCCATGGGGTGAAGAAAATCCATGGGATGAAGGACATCCATAGGGTGAAGAACATCTGTACGGTGAAGGACATCCATGGGATGAAGCATGTCCATGGGGTGAAGGACATCCATAGGGTGAAGGACATCTGTGGGGTTAAGCACATCCGTGGGGTGACCACCAGCAGATGCTTCGGAGCATCTCTTGAGCAGGTCCCCCCACCGAGAGGGACCGTGGTGGGGGACACCCGGGGCCAGGTCCCTATGGGGTGGGGGGTTGGATTGTGGGGTGACGCCCTGGCCGGGCTCTGGCACGACCTCCAGGGTGTGGGGAGGAGGAGGAGGAGGAGAAGGTTCTTCCTCATACCGAGCTCTTGCACAAGGGCGCCGGGCAGCGGGGCTGGGCATGTCGTGGCCTGACGCCGGGGTGATGGGCACCGTCTTGCCCGGGAGGAGGCAGCTGCCTGCTCTTCCCCCCCCCCCCCCAACCCTCCCCCCCCCCCCCCCAACCCCCCCTTTCCCATTTTTGGGGATGCTCCGGACCCGGATTTATCCTCCTGGAGGGAGAAATCCCACCGGGACGGGGACAGGCCGCTCCCTCCGGCCCTTTGCCCGGGGTCCCCCTCACCCCCAGGGGCCGGACGCGGGGGGGGGACGGGGGGTCCTGTGCCCCCCCCAGGCCTCACCCACCTGCCCCCCAATCGGTCATCGGCCAAATCTAGGCAATTTACACCCAAAATACCCCAAAAAAATGACTATTTCCAGCCCTGGGTTCTAACACAGGGAGCTTTTCTTTTTTTTTTTTTTAAATATCTCTTTTTGTTAAAAATAAAAAAAAGTTTCTTTTCTAAAAGGCGGGGGGAAAATCAGGAGGAAAATTAAATTCTGCGCCCCCCGGGGATGTCCTGCCCCTTGGGGGGGAGGGGGGGGTTGCTGCATCGCGGGGCAAGCTGTTGGCTTTGCACGCCTGTCCCCTTGCACACTCACCCCCCTTGCACACTTCACATGCTTGATCCCCTCACACGCTTATCCTCACTCACGCTTGTCCCTTTCCAGGCTTGCTCCCCTTGCACACTTCTCCCCTTGCACACTTCTCCCCTTGCATGCCTTTCCCCTTTGCACACCTGTCCCCTTGCACGCTCACTCCCCTTGCACGCGTCACATGCTTGATCACCTTGCACACTTGTCCCCTTGTGCGCTTGTCCCTTTCGAAGCTTGCTCCCCTCATGCACTTTTCCCCTCGCACACTTGCTTCCCTTGCACACTTTGCACACTCAATCCCCCTGCATGCTTGTCCCTTTGCACACTTGCTCCCCTCCCATGCTTTGCACACTTGTGCCTGTGTATGCATGATCCCCTTGCACTCTCGCTCCCTTTACGCACTTGTCCCTTAGCACACTTACTCCCCTTGCACGCTTTCCATGCTTAATCCCCTTGCACACTTGCTCCTTTTCCAGGCTTGGTAACCTTGCATGCTTGCTCCCCTTGCTTCCTTTGCACACGTGTTCCCCTCGGACACTCACTCCCCTCACATCCTTTGCACACTTGCACCCTTCGCAAGCTTGCCCCCGTGCATGCATGATCCCCTTGTGCACTCACTCTCTTTGAATGCTTTGCACGCTCAATCCCCTTGCACACTTGTCCCTTTTTATGCTCACTCCCCTTGTGCACTTTGCATGTTCAATCCCTTTGCACGCTTCCTCTCTTCCCACGCTTGCTTCCCTTGCTTTCTTTACACACTTGTTCCCCTTGGACACTTGCTGCCCTCACATGCTTTGCACACTTCCACCCTTTGCACGCTTGCACGCATGCATCCTTGCTGTCTTTGCACACTTGCTCCTCTTCCATGCTCACTCCCCTTGCACACATGCTCCCCTCGCACGCTTGATCCCCTTCTATGCTTGTTCCCTTTGGGTGCTCCCTCACTTTGCACACTCACTCCACGTACACGCTTGTTCCCCTTCCAAGCTTGCTCCCCATACACCTTTGCACACGTGCTCCCCTTCCTTGCTCACTCCCCTTGCACACTCCCTCCCCTTGCACCCTTGCTGCTTGCCAAGAGATGTGAGGCTGAAGAAACCCAGGGAAGGCAAAATCACCCCTTTGCCCCCCAAAATGTCCCTCCACCCGAAATATGGGTGCTGGGGTGTGTGTGTGAGTGTGAACCCCCCCCGTGCTGACACGGCAGGGCACAGGCGCTCGCACTGTCGGCCTTGAGCGTGGGGGAACCACCCGGCGCCCCCATCGCCCCCCCACCATGGAATCCCAATTTTGGGGGGATTTGAGGGTGCGGAAGCCGCTCGCCCCCTTTCCCACGGCCCCAGCCCCTGGGGGGGGGGTATTTTCGCCGCCCCCCGCGGTGTGAGCTTTTCTCTGCCTTCCCTTCCCTTCCCTTCCCCTGCCCAAGGTTTCCTCCCGGTTTCCTGGCCCGCCTGTTTGTTCCCTTTCCCGCTCCCGAATCCCATTTCTTTGTTCCCCCGACAGGGTAATTTTCCATTGAGGCTCCGACTCCGAGGCGATGCCGTGAATTCCCGCCTGGCGCTGCCGAAAAACGGGTGTCCCACCCAAAAAACCCCCTCAGATTCCACATTTTCGTAGGTGTGAAACACTCACTGACTTTCCCGCCGCATCCCTGAAATTTATTTCCAAAGAAGGTTGGGAAGGTGTGAAAATAAATTTGGGAGAAAGAAGCAAATATGAAATTAATAATAAACATAATTCTGCGTGGAAGGTTTTGCCCAACCCTTCCCTTCCCTTCCCCTGCCCAAGGTTTCCTCCCGGTTTCCTGGCCCGCCTGTTTGTTCCCTTTCCCGCTCCCGAATCCCATTTCTTTGTTCCCCCGACAGGGTAATTTTCCATCGAGGCTCCGACTCCGAGGCGATGCCGTGAATTCCCGCCTGGCGCTGCCGAAAAATGGCTGTCCCACCCCAAAAACCCCCTCAGATTCCACATTTTCATAGGCGTGAAACGCTCATTTCTTTTCCCACCACATCCCTGAAGGTTGGGAAGGTGTGAAAATAAATTTGGGAGAAAGAAGCAAAAAATGAAATTAGTAATAAACATAATTCTGCGTGGAAGGTTTTGCCCAAAATATCAGATTTTCCAAAATTTTGGAAACAATCGTATTTTCACGTCCAGCAAAACTTAATTAACATCTGGGCCTGGGATGCCAGGGAACATCTGGAAGAGTTTTATCCCCGGGTCACACAATGTGAGTCCTCGGGGGGTGTTTTCCTCACGGAGGGAGCCCCAGAGGGTGCTGGATGGGGATGAGCCGGGGGCTGGTCCCCAGCCGGGACGCAGGGCCGAACCGGGAGGAGATGCTCACACCGAAAATCCCCTATGAATTATATATTTTTTAAAAATATATTTTTATATTGGTGATTTCAGGGTCTTTTTTGCACTAGAAAGCTTCAAAATTATATATAAAAATGCATTGGTGGGGGGTTCCATCCAGCAAAACTTAATTAACATCTGGGCCTGGGATGCCAGGGAACATCTGGAAGAGTTTTATCCCCGGGTCACACAATGTGAGTCCTCGGGGGGTGTTTTCCTCACGGAGGGAGCCCCAGAGGGTGCTGGATGGGGATGAGCCGGGGGCTGGTCCCCAGCCGGGACGCAGGGCCGAACCGGGAGGAGATGCTCACACCGAAAATCCCCTATGAATTATATATTTTTTAAAAATATATTTTTATATTGGTGATTTCAGGGTCTTTTTTGCACTAGAAAGCTTCAAAATTATATATAAAAATGCATTGGTGGGGGGTTCGGATCTGTCTTGCACGAGAGAGATGCAAAATTATATACAAAAATATATACATGGTGAAGTTCAGGGTCTTTTTTTTGCACTAGGAAGCTGCAAAATTATATATATAAATACATACAGGGGGGGTCAGGGTCTTTTTTCACTAGGAAGCTGAAAAATTAAATATATAAATGTATGTATGGGATGGTTCGGGGTCTTTTTTTGCACTGGAAAGCTGCAAAATTATATATAAAAAATCCCTATACGGAGGGGTTGGGATCTGTTACGCATTAGAAGGCTGCAAAATTATATATAGAAATAGATATAGGGGGCTTTCTGGGGCTGTTTTGCACTAGAAAGCTGCAGAATTATATATATGTACATGTAATAACCTATTTTGTAAATATAATGTTAAATAGACAATAATATACTATCATAGACTATAGTATACAATAATAATAATATAAAATAGTATAGTGTAATCTAATATACTATAATAGAATGCAATAATTACATATAATTGTATATTAATGTACTACAATATTATATAGCTATACAGAGAATAAATATAATCAATAAATATACTAAATAGATACTACTAATAAAAAAAATAACTGGAAATGTGAATCTTTCCAACCCTTCCCATGGCAAAACACTGTTTTTTAGTCCCATTTTTCTAAGGAGACACGGAGCAAGGAAATATCCCTGCGAAGGGACAGTTGGGCTGGAGAGAAGGCTGAGCCCGTGGCAAACTCATGACACTTATGGCTCATGGAGCCTCATTTAAGTCCCATGTCAGGGTGATTTTTTTTTTAGGAGGATTTTCCAAAATCTAGGAGGACTTGATCTATGGATTAAGGGGTTTTTTTGGGATGTGCCCCCTCAAGCATCCCACTCGCTGTGGGTACCACGGGGCCGGGATGCAGGAGATGCAGCATCCTCCATCATCCCGCCGCCCGTGCTCGTTAGCAAAGGCCTTTCTAACGAGCTTTAATCCACCATGGTGGTTTTTTTTTCCAAGCATTAACATATTTTGGATATTATTCTCCGCCATCACCTGACGTCCAAGGAGGTTTTGGGGTTGTTTCTTTTTTTTTTTTTTTTTTGCTGCTTACGTGGTTTGTTTTCCTCTTCCCGGAATAGCCGGAGAACAAAATAAAAAAATAATTAACAAAATAATAAAATAAAGCCCAAGCCGGGGCATCGAGGGGGTGAGGAAAATTCCAGAAA